TGGTAGCCCTTGTTTAAAATTCAATTTTCCAGGCCAGGCATGGTGGCTCACGCCTGCAATCCCAGCACTTTGGGAGGCCAAGGCCGGTGGATCACTTGTCGTTAGGAGTTTGAGACCAGCCTGGCCAACATGGTGAAAACCCGTCTCTACTAAAAATGCAAAAAAATTAGCCAGGTATGGTGGCATACGCCTGTAATCCCAGCTACTGGGGAGGCTGAGGCAGGAGAATTGCTTGAACCTGGGAGATGGAGGTTGCAGTGAGTCAAGATCGTGCCATTGCACTCTAGCCTGGGCAACAAGAATGAAACTCTGTCTCAAAAATAAAAAGTAAAAAAATAATAAGAAGATAAAATTCAGTTTTCCAAGTCCCACCTATTGAGTCAGGTTCCTTGAAGGTGACACTGAGGAATATGCATCACTGACAAGCTCCCTGAGTGGCTGAGGCACATTGAGGACCCCTGGCTCACTGGTTTGTTCAGTCAGTAGGATTAATGCTGAACAATACTAGAAGAACACAGGGAGAAGACAGGGGAACAGAGGTATTTAATATGCATCAGTGCCTTTGGATTCTGTTTACAAAGACAGAAAAGGAAGGCAAGGGAAGAAGGCAGTCTAGAGGTGTACATGCTGGCCTGGACTCTGCCCTATATGCTCTATAGGAAGATCTTGGTCAGCTCACCCTTGCACTTTAGCTGGGCCACTCTGGGCCCTGCCTCCTCCTCCCCTCCTCCTCCTCCTCCTCCTTCTTCTTCTTCTTCTTCTTCCTCTTCCTCTTCCTCTTCCTCCTCCTCTTCCTCCTCTTCTTCCTCTTTTTCTTTCTTTCTTTCTTTCTTTTTTTTTTTTTGAGACAGTGTCTCCCTCTGTCACCTAGGCTGGAGTGTTAGTGGCATGATCTCGGCTCACTGCAACCTCTGGCTCCCAGGTTCAACCAATTCTCAGCCTTCCAAGTAGCTGGGACTGTAGGCACATGCCACAACCCCTTGCTAATATTTTGTATTTTTAGCAGAGATGAGGTTTCACCATGTCGGCCAGGCTGGTCTTGTACTCCTGACCTCAGGTGATCCACCTGCCTCAGCCTCCCAAGGTGTTGGGATTACAGACATGAGCCACTGCGCCAGGCCCTTTGACTCTTTTTGAGTTGCCCACACTGCCTGCCCAAGGAGCTAGAGGCTGACACTGTCAGCTGCTTTGGCAGCTGTGCCAAAAGTTTCTCTGGTGTGGGGTAGAGGCAGGTGGGTTGATGGCTGGCTGGGGGATGGGCATGAGTGTGGCAGGGCAAACAAGGCACGTGGGAAGGTCTGTAAGTTCATCTCTGACTTCTAAGACGGGTAGCTATCATTTTTACGTGCTTCACATGGTATGCTGCATCAATGCCCACACACTTTGGGGTGACAGATACATATTGTTTAATGGTAATTATCTGGATGAGAGAAATCACTTGTGTGAGTTACCAGTAAACCCAGTTTGCAGGGTGGAGCACACCTTTGGCTTTCCCAATCCATTAGGCCCTTGGCGGTATCACCATGAGATTCCTCTTGCTGTCCAACCACACCCAGCTCCCTCATAGAAGAGTTCAGGAGTGAGTCTCAAATCTGCATTTTAGCTTGTTCTTAAAAGGATTCAGGCAGGGAGATGGAGGACATAAAGTTCAGCTCAGGAGGCAATTTGGGACAGTGTTGGCATCTGGGTAACCATCCAAGTGTCCCTAAATGACAAATTATTGACATAAGGCTTCCAACAGCAGGTCATTAAAGTTGAATTAATTAATAACCTATTATTTGCTTGTAAGGTTGAGGACAGTGGTTTTGAAGCTTTTATGTGTATCACTATCACCTATTAAGCTTGTTAAACAGGTGCCCCACCCCAGACTCTTAAGAGCTGAGGCCTGGAAATTTATCCTTTCAACAAAACTCCCCAAGCACTTCACACACACACACACACACACACACACACACACACACACACCACGAGCTTATCTCTGGTTCTTGGAACTAGGAAGTTCTGCAGTGTTTTTTTCTTTATTTCTTTTTTTTTTTCCTTTTTGAGACAAGATCTGGCTCTATTGCCCAGCCTGGAGTACAGTGGCGCAATCTTAGCTCACTGCAACTTCTGTCTCCCAGGCTCCAGTCATCCTGCTTCAGCCTCCAGAGTAGGTGATACTACAGGCACACGCCACCACACTTGGCTAATTTTTGTATTTTTTGTAGAGACAGGGTTTTGCCATGTTGCCCAGGTTGGTTTCAAACTTGTGAACTCCAACAATCTGCCGGCCTCAGCCTCCCAACACTGAGATTACAGGCATGAGCCACCACACCCGGCCAAGTATTTGTTTCTTAATTAAGGCAGGGTATTCTGCCTCCACCCTCAGCCTTTTCTTCAAATGTGATGGTTTGTGCTCTGTCCACTTGGCCAAGATGGAACTACCTTTTCGAGATCCCCTTCCCTGTACAGTTCTGAGTTAAATTTGGCCAGAAGAAGAATTTGTACCAGGTTTGGAAGATGTGAAGCAGCAGCCATTACTCTCAGAAGGTCGTCAGGGTTAAATGTGGTGACAGACACAGGCCAGCGGGTTCCAGCTTGTGCTTGCTGTCCTGCACTGCACATCCAGTCCTCTTCCTGACTGCTGATTCCAGGACCGGCAGCAGCGCCAGCCCCTCCCTCAGATGGCATTTCCACGGAGGAGGGACCACAGGCTTCTCTTTTCCGCCCCTCCACAGCGACAGGATGTGCTTAGCTTGTCCAAGGCACTGCTTGGCAGCTCCTTCTCTGATCCTCCCATTCCTCCAGGGCCTTCGCCTCTCCAGTTCCTCCCAAAGTTGTGTAAGATCCAATTCCTATAATAAGTGTGTCCCTTATCCCATAACTCCAAGGGGTTCCCTTCCCTGACTTAACCCTGACTGTTCAGTAAAGAAGTACTTCCCATGTCTGAAATAAATCAAGACCTGGGAATTAGGACTTCCATTTAGATCCAAAGGAATGTCCATGGGATGTAAAGATGTGTAAACACCGTGAAGGCAGCTAAAAGCTCACCCATTGGTCTTACGTTCCATGATTATAGGGTAATTGAAAAATGTGATTTCCCCACGTTCTCTACTGGCAAATACAGTACCTTGGGCAAAAGCAGTACAAGTCACCCTTTCCTTTTCCTCCTGCCTTTCCTTTTAAGCTGGTGTCCTTGTTCAGACCACAGCGTGCATATATGGTATGTATGTGGTAGCTTGTCATTTACTGCAAAGAAGCCCTGAGTCCAGCCTGTAACAGAGTCCATTCCTAGAATCATTAAGTATAGACAGGTCACAGAATGGCCCCACCAAAATGCTCCATGAAAGGATAGGCATTCTTTGGCTTGTTGTACAATTTTTTCTCTGCTCCAATGCCAGAGCATTGGTCAGCCATTCTTTTCTGACCACCCATGTGAAAAAGCTCTGGTAGGATCCTGGATTGTCCCTACCATAGCCTTCACAATACTGTGCTGCTACTATTCACTGGATGTCTGTGTTATGCACTAGATGGCAAGTACTCTTTTTTTTTTTTTTTTTTTTTGAGATGGAGTCTCGCCCTGTCGCCCAGGCTGGAGTGCAGTGGTGCAATCTCAGCTCACTGCAAGCTCCACCTCCCAGGTTCACGTCATTCTCCTGCCTCAGCCTCCAGAGTAGCTGGGACTACAGGCACCTGCCACCACGCCCGGCTAATTTTTTGTATTTTTAGTAGAGATGGGGTTTCACCATGTTAGTAGCCAGGATGGTCTTGATCTCCTGACCTCATGATCCGCCCGCATCAGCCTCCCAAAGTGCTGGGATTACAGGCATGAGCCACCGCGCCCGGCTGATGGCAAGGACTCTTAGGATGGTGTCTCTCATCCAGTCACTTGGCTCCCCAGTGTCCAGCACAGCACCCGCACAGAGAAGCATGCAGTAAACATTTGTGGTGTGAGTGATGAGCCATGCGGAGGTCACATCTGCTTTGAGGCTGGGACTTTCCTATCAGGCAATATCCTCATTTGAAAGGGCCTGGAACCAGGGGCCAGGTCTGTGCCCCCTTTAGAGTATGAGGCCCACATACCAGGAGACAGAGCTGTAGAAGGGCCAGCTACTGGCCACCAGAGACCTGACTGGTGTGTGACCTCCTGTGGTGCCTTGCCAATGTTGGCTGATCACAGGCTACGTCAGGGTTGATAATCCTGTGGCACAAGAGCCCCCCACTCCATTCTCCAGAGCCCACACTCCCTAATCTATTATGGCCTTGAACCTTCTCAAGATAACACCTAGGCAGCTGCTACCAGTCATCAGAGTGGCAGCTATAAATGGAAGCCATTCTTCACCCTCAGGCAGCCTCTGAGATCTGTCTCACCATCATCCCTGCCATCCGAGGCATCACTATTTTTGTTTATGGGGAGGCATGAATACCAAACCAAAATATCAACAAGTGAAGTAGAAATTGAGTTGTAAGTAAATGATACCAAGTTTATCCAACTCAAGCAACCAATAAACCAACCACTTGACTGGGAGAAAAACATTTTTCTCCCAGTCAAATGGAAAAGGCAAAAAGATGGCTTTGTTTATATGCTATGATGTCACTTTTATTTATTAATTAATTAATTTATGTATTTATTTATTTTTAGAGACAGGCTCTTGCTCTGTTGCCCAAGCTAGAGTGCAATGGCATGATCATAACTCACTGTAACCTTGAGCTCTTGGGCTCAAGTGATCCTCCCGCTTCAGCCTCCTGAGTAGCTGGGACTATAGGAATGTGCAGCTAATTTCATTTTTATTTTTAGAGATGTGATCTTGCTGTATTGCCCAGGCTGGTCTCAAACTCCTGGTCTGAAGTGATCCTCCTGGTCCTGCCTCCTAAAGCACTGGGATTACAGGCACAAGGCATTGCACCCAGTCAATGCCACTTTAAAATGGGAGTTTGGTATGGACTCAAATGTCTGGGGACAAGACTGCCCCCACTGGGGACTCCTTTACTACAAAGAAACCTCCTCTCCCCCTCCGCAGCCCCACATGCAGGTCCGGTAGGAGTCTCCAAATCCCATCTGTCTCCCTGCGCTGCAGTTGCCTTGCTTTACCTGCAGAGTTTGGCATCCGGTAGCAATGTCTCGAACCCCCGGAGTGTCAGGTGAGGAGAGGAGAGGCCAGCACTGTGGTACAATGGAAGGAGGGGACAGGAGGCAACCACTTGGCTTCTCGCCCCAGTTCTGCCACTTACAAACCATGTTACCTGTGATAAGTCAACATTTGGGAGCTTCCACTTCCTCACCTGTTAAAGGAAGTCGAGGCAGTAGTTATTAGTTGCCTGTATGTATGTATCTCGTTGGGATATTGATAATATCATATAACACTGAAAAGGCTAATGTGAAAGTGCTTTAAGTAAGAAAGGGGAAAGTTTTTGTTTTGTTTGCTACTTTATAGCACACAGCCTGGCCCATAGTACAGTGGGGTGTTCAGTAAAAGGTTTGTTGAATGAACAAATGTGAACACAAAAATCTTGCTCCCCTGGGAGTGGAAGGGGAAGTGAGGTGAGGAAGGTGCACACAGGGGGGCCTCACAGGTGGAGGAGATATTGTATTATGAGACTGAAGGGGGCTACATGCTACATGCTTTCTAGTTCCTCTCTGTGTTTGTGTGTTGAATATTTTTTGTATGTATTCAATGTATAATGAAAGCTTTTTTAAAAAATTAATGAACAAACAAACAAGTAGACAGAAAAACCCCTGTGAAGTGCCTTCCCAAAGGAAGCTATTATTAGTGTGAGTACAGCTTTTGCTCTGCCATTAAAACAGTTCTAAGTGATCTCACTTAATTCACAAAGGTTCTATGTTCGGGCCAAACATTGCTGAAAGGTGGAAGAATTCATGGAGAGAAGGTTATACCAGGAACCAAGATCTGCTTTTTAAAAGGGAACATGCACGCTTATCTTTTGGCTTGAATTCACTGTCTTTTACTTATATGTGGTCCCTCCTGTGCCGAGTCAGCATGGGGTTCAGGTAAGCCGTGGTTCTTTGCTTGTGCAGTGGCCTCTGCCTCGCTTCTCCTTGCGAGTCTTACTCATCCTTCAAGACCTATCCCAGGCATCATCCTTTCCGGGAGGTTTCTCTGAACCACCTCACTGGATTAAAAAGCATTGCACACCTTGGCATGTCTATGGCAGTGGATCTCCATTGCGGGTGGGTGACCTTGTTTCACTGGGGACATCTAGCAATGTCTGGAGACAATTTTGATTGTCATGACTGGGGGTGGGGATGGAATGTGTACCACTGGCATCTAGTGGGTAGAGGCCAGGGATGGTGCTAAACATCCTACAGTGCACAGCACAGCCATCCCCACAATAAACTGTCTGATCCAAAATGTCATTAGCACTACTGTTGAGAAGCCCTGCTTGACGGTATGAAGTTATCTCTTTGCGTCTCAGTAAGGACCCATATCAACCTGGGAAGACCCAAGGTTGATTCAGCCTTTTGTCCCCAGCACCCAGTACACTGCTATTAACCACACACACAGATACACGTGTGAATATGTATATATAAACTATGTATATCGATATTGGGTGGGGTTTTTTTTGAGACAGGATCTTACTCTATCACCCTGGCTGGTGTGCACTGTTGTGATCATAGCTCACCACAACCTCCACCTCCCCAGGCTCACATGATCCTCCTATCTTTAGCCTCCTACAGGCATGCACCACCACACCTGGCTAATTTCTGTATTTTTTGTAGAGACAGGTTTTTGTCATGTTACCGAGGCTGGTCTCAAACTCCTGGACTCAAGTAATCTGCCTGCCTCAACTTCTAAAAATGCTGGGATTACAGGCTTCAGCCACTGTACTTGGCCTTTTTTTTTTCTTTTGAGACAAGGTCTCGCTCTGTCACCCAAGCTGGAGTGCAGTGGCACGATCACGGGGCTCACTGCAGCCTTGACATCCCTGGTTCAAGCAATCTTCCCACCTCAGCCCTTCCGAGTAGCTGGGACTTCAGGCAAGCGCCACTGTGCCCGGCCAGTTTTTTAAATTTTTTGTAGAGATTGGGTCTCACTATGTTGCCTAGGCTGGCCTGGAACTCCTGGCTTCAAGTGATCCACCCACCTGGGCCTCCCAATATGCTGAGATTACCGACATGAACCACTGTGCTGGCCTGTGTTGTTTTTTTCATTCATTCATTCCTCTATTCAGTGTAAAGTGCAGTACTTAGCTGGAGATGCACAGAACTAAGGTTCCTGCTCTCAGGAAGCTTGGCAGTCAAATGGAGGAAAAGTTCACGTCAACACCCAGTTATTCACAAGACAGGTTGAAACAGGGCCCTAATAGAGGATAGGCAGAGTGCTCTGGGAGACCTGATGATTAGGTTGAACCAAAGTAAGTTGCTGACATGCTACCTTTTTAACTGGAAAAAACAGCAATTTTGTATGGTTCACCCCAAAATGTGGTTTAACCTACATGCTTTGGACTGGGTTGAAGGTGACAATCAGACTTCACAGAGGAGACACAGGAAATGTTTCCAGTCTTGACTTCTCCACTGCATGGTCCTTCCCTGAACACAAGACCATGTATTTTCTTCCCCAACATCACACTTCCTGGGAGAGTGTCTTGCATTTATAAGGCCTTAGTAATTTTTTTGTTGAGTAGGGTTCAGGTAACTATTGGTACTGCAAGTTGGTTTTTATTATTGTGACTGCACTTTTACCCCCAGAAACTCTGAAGAACAGTGTTACACAGGCAGAAAATTTGTAGTGTTTTCCTAGTGGCAACAGGTACAAGAAAACACAGTCCCCTAATACCACCCAAAGCCACAGCCTGTCAGGGGAACCATCGTGGAAACTGTCAGGAGCTAAAGGTCCAGGGCATAGCTGGTGGCCATCTGGGAGGTCAGCTGCCCCTGGCGGTGTCAGGCAGCCCCATGCACACCAGGCCATGAGCCTTGGCCACTTACTCACCTTGTGTTCTGCAGCAGGTGGTGGAAGATAAACAGCTCAGAGCTGGACTCAGAACTTGGCAGAGTCCTGCTTTCAACTATGTGCAGCCAGAAAACTCTGGAAAACTGAACTGTTTATTAAGGTCAAACTTTGGTAAGTCTGATAAAGTCTGGCTCCAGGTGTCAATCTAGTCTCTTGAAAGAATTGCCCAGAAGCTCATTGCTGATGGCTGGATGTTACCAGTGGCATACAGCCTCTGCTTGTGGGTGGAATTCGGCAGTTCGGACACCGCCCCACGGCTCCTGATGCAAGCCTGGGCAGGAGCTAGAGCTAGCGGCTTGCAGCCAAGGAGGAGATAAGCCCAGGGGAACCCTGCAGGCTATCCAAACATCTGCCAGCTGGACTAGCTCCAGGCCACTGGTGACCCCTGCCATGACACTGGACACCAGTAGCAAGAAAGCCTGCAATCCAGTATGCTTCTCCTTTCCTTTCTACAGGTCTCCTAGAGAGTGGAGCTAGCTCCCATCCTTCCAAATGCAGCAATGACATTAAGAACATTTGTTCACATGGATCACAGTTGGTGTTGGAAAGTTGTCCTACCTGGACATTGCTGTCAGAGCCATGGACTAAAATACTCAGTTCTGGCCTAAATAAAGCAAGCTCTCAGTGTCAAAGGCTTTTTTTTTTGAGATAGAGTCTTGCTCTGTTGCCCAGGCTGGAATGTAATGGTGTGATCTCAGCTTACTGCAGCCTCCGCCTCCCAGATTCAAGCAATTCTCCTGCCTCAGCCTCCTGAGTAGCTGGGATTATAGGTGCACGCCACCACACCTGCTAATTTTTGTATTATTAACAGAGGCGGGGTTTCACCATGTTGGCCAGGCTGGTCTCCAACTCTTGGCTTCAAGTCATCCGCCCGCCTCAGCCTCCCAAAGTGCTGGGATTACAGGTGTGAGCCACAGTGCCTGGCCTTTTTGAGGACTGTTATACGTAAAAGAAAATTCAGACCATGGGCATAACATTCCTTTAGCTGTTTTGCATAGACATGCTTTTTTGCTTTAATATGGGTCCACTGGGAAAAGGTTTGTGGAAATCTGAGCAGCTGATGTTTGTGCACTCAGATTCTTTGGGATCTATCTGTGAGACTTGGTGAGGCAATACGGCTTCCACCATTTCCCTAGGGAAAAGGTTACTCAAGGTTACTGAACTCATGAAGCCATGTGGATTTCCAGCATGTGTTATTATAATCTCACTATCCTTTCCATTCTAAAATGCTGTAAGTCTGCAACTTTTTTCTGTGGTCATCCCTTCCCCAAGGTATCCACCTTCCAGTTTGTCCTATGGAGCATGCTCTTGGCAGAGTTTGGCATTATTTCTTATTGGGGGTTTTATTTTTGTAAAATTGTGTTAAATCGCTAATAAGGAAGACTTTGTTTTATTTGTATTTTTGGAGGGAAAGAAATATTTTTTGGTATAACCATCATAAATCTTACCAGCTCATAAGTGGAGCTTCATTTCCAGATACTGTATGTTAAAGCCACCAATGTTTCAAGAGATTCTAGAGACTATGATGTTTGTTGAATGACTGAGTTTTCCAGCATCATTTCTAGCCTTCATCATATGTTACTACTATCATAACAATAATTATATAAGTTATAAAGAGTCTAAACCCATAGTTGGAAAAATGAAATCAAATACCCTTCATTTTTTGTAAGGTTTTCCAGCCTGAGCAATGTCTCACAGGTAAAGAAACAACACAAAATTAAGGCAATTACTTTATTTTGAACAAGGAAGTGGCATAATAATTTTGGGAGAAATAGCTGTCTTCTATCTGGTTAGTTATCTACTGTTGCACCTTCTATTTTTTTTTAATTTTTTGAGACAAAGTCAAGCTCTTGTCACCCAGGCTGGAGTGCAATGGTGCGATCTTGGCTCACTGCAACCTCCGCCTTCTGGGTTTAAGCAATTTTCCTGCCTCAGCCTCCCAAGTAGCTGGGATTACAGGCACCTGCCACCACACCCGGCTCATTTTTGTATTTTTAGTAGAGACAGGGCTTTACCATGTTGACCAGGCTGGTCTCGAACTCCTGACCTCAGGTGATCTGCCTGCCTCACCCTTCCAAAGTACTGGGATTACAGGCGTGAGCCACTGAGCCCAGTGCACTTTCTTATAAAGTAAGCACCACATCATCTCTAGAATGAGCATCTAACTGCTCATTGGGAGATGAAACTTTCATTCTGGTTTGAGATGAATGCATAGACTCACATGGGGCTATAGAACCACTAGTCTTGACTGAGTTAGAAAAAATGAAGGTAACATGTTTATATTTCCAAGTTGCTTCCATTGTAAAAATAAGTTTTATATCTCCTTTTGTTAGAAAATATTCTGGTCAAATAATCTTGCAAAGGGAAGATAACCTAGCCTCAAGTCTATCATATAAAAGCAAAGAGACAATGATTGATTTTCTGCTCAGTTATCATGTTTAGGACTTTTACAGGGCACATGTTAATTCCCAGGGAATACTGCTATGCTGTTTGTGCCAGAAATTTCCTGTATTCTCCCCAGGCGTCAAAAAGGTCACCTGGCCGGTTGTACACAGTCCACACTGGGTCTCCCACAAACAGCCACATGGCCTTCATATAGATCTTTTCCTCCAGAAGAAGTGATACATTCCTGTGGGGAGAGTTATGATGTCTCCTTACTCCAGAAAGATCCCCATCCATTTGTACTCTTTTATCTCTCACATCAAAGTGCCTGCTGCAGGAGGTGTGGTGGCTCGGCTCACCTTGTAATTCCAGCTACCTGAGAGACTAAGGTGATCCCTTGAGGCCAGGAGTTACAGACCAGCTTGAGCAACATAGTGAGGCCTTGTCTCTAAAAATGAAAAAAAAGGCAAGGGCGGCGGGGGTGGGTGGGGAAGAAAAAACTAATGTAGCGGAACTCATCATCCAAGTGCAAATACCCCTCATAAAACATCTTAATCTTTTCTTCATAACTTGATAGTTTATCTTTGCACATGGTTGTTATGTCCATCCCGGAGTAGTTTCTCTCCTTTCGTGTTGTTCTAATTCTGAATCATTCTGATATTGGTAAGCATCCAGCTTCTAGTAGTGCACCCAAGGCAGCACGGGTTCTTCAGACCCATGAGCAGAGGAACGCAGGCAGCTGTCATCGGGGGCTCATCCACATATCAGGACTGGCCATGGCCTCAGACACCCTGGCAGAGCAGGCCCAGCAAGCAGACGGTGGCTGCTGGAGAGGGGAGGGGTCGTGGTGGTCCAATCTGAAGGTTGGCAAGCTCTCTAAGAAACACTTAAAAAAAAATCTAATTCATCTATACTAGAGGCCACTGGGACTCCTATATGATCAAGCCCATAGTGTGTTGCAATTAGTATTTAAAGCTTTTTCTCCAAAGGTCACAGGGATCTTTGCAGCAGCTTCCTGGAGGTGGTTCATACCAACTCCCCAGAGTCAACATGTGCCTCTCTTCCCGAGTCTGCGCCCAGAGACCAGGTATGGACAGTTTGAGATCAGCCCCAGTGGAGTATTTACACCAAAGAAATTGCAAATGCCACAAATCAGGATTTTTTTTTTTTTTCCTGGAGATGCTGGTTTTTAAACATTTGCTGCCAGTCCGCCAAACAATTGTCTCAAATATCATATAATAGTAGGTTATGTACCCTATGTCATGATATGTTTTTAAAAACTAACTAGTGGCTACCGGGCTCGGTGGCTCATGCCTGTTATCCCAGCACTTTGGGAGGCCGAGGTGGGTGGATCACGAGGACAGGAGATCAAGACCATCCTGGCTAACATGGTGAAACCCCGTCTCTACTAAAAATACAAAAAAAAAATTAGCCGGACGTGGTAGCAGGCACCTGTAGTCCCAGCTACTCAGGAGGCTGAGGCAGGAGAATGGTGTGAACCCGGGGGGGATGGAGCTTGCAGTGAGCCGAGATAGCGCCTCTGCACTCCAGCCTGGGCAACAGAGTGAGACTCTGTCTCAAAAAAAAGAAAAAGAAAAAGAAAACTAACTAGTGACTGGTCGTGGTGGTTCATGCCTGTAATCCCAGCACTTTGGGAGGCCAAGGCGGGCAGATCACTTGAGGTCAAGAGTTTGGGACCAGCCTGGCCAACATGGTGAAACCCTGTCTCTACTAAAAATTCCAAAAATTAGCCGGACATGGTGGTGCGCACCTGTAATCCCAGCTACTCGGAGGCTGAGACAGGAGAATCGCTTGAATCTGGGAGGTGGAGGTTTCAGTGAGCCGAGATTGCGCCACTGCCCTCCAGCCTGGGTGACAGAGTAAGACTCCATCTCAAAAAAATGAAAAAATAAAAATAAAACATAACTAGTTTTTAAATAGAAAAAGCCATACATGCAACATGTGTGTTGGATAGAGTACAGTATAAACTTTTGTTTAAAAGGGACCTAAAAATATAGTGGTTTAAATAAAATAGAAGTTTCTTTTTCTCCCAGGTAAAGGTCCCAAGTTAGACTTCCCAGAATCATGAAGGCAACTTGATTTTCCTCAATATATTGCTTCTGTCTGTGGGTCTAAGGTGGCTGCTCCAGCTCCCACCATCATGTCTGCATCCCAGTGATCCAGAAGGGGAAAATGACAAAGGCAAACTTTATCTATACCTTTGAAAGGCATGGCCCAGAGATTACACATATCCTTTCTGCTCTCATTCTACTGTCTAGAACTTAATTACATGGCCTAGTACAAGGGAAGCTGGGAAACATAATCTTTAGTCTGGCTCCCCCAGGCCCAGCTAAAACCCAGGATTTCTATAATTAAAGGAAGAAAGAGAGAGTGGATATTGGTGGCCAACTAGCAGTTGTGGTCCCTATAGTAAAAATTCAAGTGATATGACAGATTGGACAGAGAGCTGGCATCCCTCCCCCAACTCTGGCTTCTAGTCTTCCTCCCTAAAGGGAGTTTCCAGAGTTTCTGTGGCTGTAATAGGGTATGTGTATATGTTCTCTCTTGGGAGGCCACGTAGCCCCAAAGATTAAAATGTGGACTTAGATGTCAGAATGCCCTGGGTGTTGATCCCACCTCCATGGCTGACTAGCTGTGTGAACATGGGCAATATACTTAGCCTCTGTGCTGTAGGTCTCCATATGTAAAATGGAGATGACAATAGTACCTACCTTTCTGGGTTCTCATGAAGACGAAATGTGATCATATATAAGTAAACACTCATATAGGGGCTGTTATAATTCTACTTGTATCAATTTAATAATATGGAATGTTTATTTATTTAAAAATAACACCATTGATTTTGTGCACCTCAGCTTTATGGTCCCCTTGGCTCTGTTGCTCAGAAGTGATCAGTTCTCATCACAGAGGAAACAGATGGGTTCTGGAGTTAGAAGACCTGGATTTGAACTAGTATTTGAATTAATTTGAACTAGTATTTGAATTAATCATTCCAACTCTCTGAGTCTGCGTTTCTCAATTTATAAAATAGAGAAAATAATATTATCTCCCAGAGCTGTAATGAGGATCTAACAAGACCATGTAGGTGGAAATGTGTCATAACTATTAAATTGCTATTCCATATCAAATCTGAGAATAACCACGTTGGGAAGCATCTTAGAGGTCATTTGGTCCAACTAGTTACAGAGTGGAGGCAATAGGATGGGCTTCTTGCAATGAAACTGACCCAGTGGTCCCGTAAACAGTTTGTTTTTGTTTTTTTTGTTTTTGTTTTTTTGTTTTTTGATAAATATAGAAATTAACCCTTCTGGTCTTAAAGCTTGATGCTTACATTG